AAGCATTAAAAAAGACGTATATTCTTGACTTTGGTACGCCAACTTCATAAATAAATAAACAATTTTTTTCTTTGTTTGTAGCTCTTTTCAGTCTATAGGGCTGTAAAAAAGTTTTAGCTTTACTGAGGACAAGCTTAACATATTGTTTTTTGGTCCACAGGTCCGAACAGACAGTTGCCAGTAACCGACTATAGGATAGTTCATTGGAAGCTTGACCTCTGGAGGGTGTGTGCATTATTAAAGAGCCTATGAACTCAAAAGAAAATTTAAACATTACTTTCTAATTTGATATCTATTAAGAAAGGTAAAAGGTTCTAGAACGAAAACAACCTCTGCAAGTTTCCAGCGGTTAGGGGACGAAGAATTATAAAAAAAAGAATTAATGATGTTTATAATGTACCTAGGAGACTTAGTTGTAAGGTGTTTTAAAGTAGACTTGGTGATGAAATCGGGCCCTTTAGCTTTCTTAACATAAAGGGACGTTACGGTTTCCGATATATCTTTCTCTGATGTGGGTTTTAGAGCAGTGAAGCTTTATTTTCTGAGAGGGTGCTATCAACAACATCCTGAACCATATTTTACATGCTTCAAGTCAAACTAGATAAGCGGTTTCTCCTACCGCAATGAAGAGCTCTTTCCATTCGTTTTTAACGGCGGTATAATGGTTTTACAATTTGTTGACGACCTCATGTGTGTCGTCATATCCAAAGGTATCTTTAACGATCTTATTTTAAAATTCCATAGATCATTATAAAAACCTCTAAGAGCCTTTTTTAATGTATTGCTGCTCTTGCTAAGTGCTACTCTGTAGGGAGGGGTGAGGAAGGGTAGAAGTTGGGTATGGATTTTACCTAAACAATTTTCTTCTTTTTAGAAGATATTTTATGTTATCTGAAATAGTTATTTTGAAAACTGGAAAGCTTTTCACAGTTGTACAGGCTGACAGTTATTGCTTCCTCAAGTTGTAAAATTCTTTGAAATAGGATATTTAAAAGTTGGTAGATTATTATTCCAAGCATTTAATAAAGAGGTTTCTGTTAATAAATTTTGTAGATGAAACGATTTTAAAATGTGGGTACCTTTTCCATTTCGAGCAAAATAGGGTCGTTCGTGCAGAACGGAGGGTAAAGAATGAAAAGATAAATTTTTAAATAACATTATGTTAAGGACCGCTCTTCTATTTAAAGTAGATAAGTAAGTGTGTAGGTACTTTTGACTCTAAAACGAGGGTTCCATTGCATGCGAACCAATTATTGAGGATCAAGCCATTTGGATTTACTATTCCAATGTGGATGCTTACAGTTAAAATCACTCCCAACAGTGTTGATTCTAGCCCAACTACATTGTCCAGAACTATTTGAGATAGAGATAGAGTCTATTTGGAGGTTTATAAGCTAACACGATTTAAATTCGACCGTTATCCTAAAGGTGTAACCATATAATAGCTTTAAGAATCTTGGTTTTAAATTTTGATTAATGAGTAGGATTTGTCTGCTGAACAAGTATTGCTACGCCTACCCATTTTCATGTTCATTCCTATTAATAGGGTATAAAAAGTTTGTTTCCATCTCTGAGATAGGTTTCAGATATTCGCGTTATTAACTCGCATAGTGCATCTTTCTTTCTTGAACTTCAGTGGCTTTCTAAGATAATAATCTAAGTTTTCTAATGCCTTCTCAATCATCGGTGGCAGTTAAGGTTATTAAAAAGATCATAATGGCTTTATTAACTTGAGTACCAATAATTTTTGGTAGTGAAGACATAATCAGATTAACAAATCCTTAGAAGTAGGCATAATATTAGATTTGTCGAAGAGTAATGTGCGTATTAGCGTCTTGGGACAATTGGCTCCTCTGTTATTTCTAAAATGGCACTATCACTAGCAGTGGCCGTAATTGCGTAGATTTTGTATACTAAAGATAGGATAAATGTATAAAAAATTTATTAAACAAATCATAAATGTAATACAGTAATTAAATTGCCCCTCTATACCACAACACGTTCTACGCAGGAAACAGAGAGCTGAAAAATTCTGCTGGAAGGGGTGTGCTATTTCTTATAATATTCATGAAACATGCTAATCGATAAACGCAAGTGGTTAACACCACTCTTTCCCCCCAAAATTACTAATCGCCAAAAGTATAGGACTGCACCGCAACGTTGTAATAATTTATTTTTTAACTCTTTCTAAAAAAAAATTACCATTCAAAGTTAGAAGGCAGACATTATAAGAGGTCTTTGGAGCAAATAGGTGCGTTCATATCGTTAAATTTTATTTTTTAACTTTCTAAGACCTCTACAGACGGTATCTTGAAAAGATCCAATTTATTAAATCTGAATAAATTGATCTAGTCGTTCATCCTTGCAGCTACTTGCAAGCCAGTTGCGTCCCTTTCTCTTCCTGAATATAATTAATAGCTCTTCTTTCTCTTGAAAGGGTAATTGTTCCGAATTATATATATGAAAAGCAAATACTTTGTTCCTTATTCCACCCAGGGTTCGATAGTCACGCCGGAATGGAGTAACATGGACTCTATGTAGTTGATTTCCATGGTAAACTTTATCCTTACCCTCCATTTTTCCTACATACATACCATTCTACTTTTCAGTAATTGATTTCAACGTTTTTTTGTGGCTACATATACGGCCATCTTAATTCTTCTTCAACCCTCGTCCGCCTGTCATAAAAAATTTTCATTTTCTTCTCTAACTGTTGTCGTTTAACCCTTTTAATACTTCCTGAGGTAGTAACTTCATCCGGCTCTATTCCTACCAAATCGTTTTTGGTGCTGTTGTCTAACTCCGGTTTATACATCGGGTCGAACTCATTAAGCTGTCCCTCACAGCTAATAGCCACTTTAAACATCATATAAAAGGGGCACACACCCAAAACGTTCGGAGGTCTATTATAGCAGTGGATATATTCCTTAACAACTAACCCATTCCACACCCCTTTTATAGACTCCTTTATATAGTCCTTTTTCCAAAGTTTGATGGCTTTTTCCGCCATTCGGGTGACTTGATGGCGGTGGGCGGTTATAAAAGCTACAGAGATCTTACATTCCTTAATTTAAGATCGCTTCTCGGTCGAGTATTACAGTTGACAATTTCTTCCATCGAAAAATTTCTTTTAAATTCGTCTTTACCATCTCAGTGATTTTTTTTTTAAAAGCTTGGGCCATAAGTATCTTAACTACTAGTACGAGTTCCAACCCATCTTTTGTTTTGGGCCTCTACATAACTTCCGCCGCTAATTGTTCCAACTGCCCCATATATCCCACATACTCGATTCAATTGTAATGAAATATTTTTTTTGAATTAGATATTAGAAAAGGTGATGGGGTATAGGAGCTTAATTGTTATTACTAAAACGGTAATATCATGGTAGTGGCTATAAACGCGTAGATTTATGTATACTCTAGGTAGAAATAAATGTATAAAAAATTTAAACAAATTATAAATATAACAGTAATTTGGCTGTCCCTTTATAGTACAACACGCCCCACGCAGGAACAAAAAGCAAAAAATTAAATCCCCTCTCACAGGGTGTGCTGTCTCTATTTATATCCATGGTCAGGCCAATTAATTAACTACGTGGCTAATTCTTCCACGTCTTTAGTAGAACTGTCTTTAAACCTCTTCTTAAAAGACGCATTCTAAGGGAAGAGTAATCTAGCCACGGTAATTGGCGGTGTATTGCGCACCATAATTAGCGCATTTAAAGGTCTACCTTCTTTCCTTTGTGCAAAACTTGGTAGCGTGAGACTAACATTTTACACATTTGAAGTGCAAAATTAATCAGTTCTTCGAAATAACTGGAACCGAAAGTACTGAATAATTTTTACCGTTTTTTTAAAGGCTCAATAGGAACAGAATTAAATCCTATATTTTTGTAGCATAAATTCTTTCTGATACTGGCCTAGGGCGCTTTCCTAGTTCTGGAGGCAACGGGATTCGCTTTTTATCGTATGTTCACATATTAATTACTTCTTCAAAATGGCATGTCCATGTTCTCACCATGTGAAGTATTATTTAGGCTGGTGTTTATGCACATGAGAGTAGGTTGCTTATGAGTGCTTAGAAATAGCGTTAAGCAGCCTGAACTATCAATCAAACACTGTGGTTTTGCTTGCCTTCTTTCCGTAGTGCTACAGATACCCGCCCGTTGTAATGCCTTCGAAGACGCTGGGACCTAGCTCGCTTAGACTGTTTTGCACAAATAGTAAAGTTTTTGAGGATGCTAAGCTGCGCCGGCTAAAAATCGTTTGGAGAAGTGCAATAAGTTAACTAGTCCAGTTTAAATTTAAATCGACCCACTATACTACACAGCAACTCTTGCGTCACTGCTGATTTAGCACACCACTTTTCCCGTACAGGATGTTCAGGCCCTTGAGAACCGACAGACGCGGAGTTTTTTTTCAAGTCAACGAGCGGCCTACGGATTGTCGAAGAGCTCTAAATTGATACATCAGCATTAACCCCTTTACTTGAGAACGTTAGCCAGATGGTGCCTACTAAAGGGCAAGACGAGGCTGCGCTTTTCAGTGCAGAAACGCGTTATCCTGCTATCTCTTTCAAAATACGAGGGCGGTAAGATCCCTTAGTGTTTGCCAACAAGTGGTCATGGCTAATAAATAGTGTGATATATTGTGTACGCGACAGTGGACCTACTACCGTTACAGGAGTTTGCACAGGTATCTTAGAGGGCAAGCATTATCACCCCTCCCGCGTACGCTATGAGTCTCTTCTGTAGACACACATATACTGACAGGCCGTACTCAGGATCTATTTATATTAATTTCCTTGTAAAAATAATAACATAGTCTAAGCGTACCTACGTCTGAAATAAAAGGCCATCTAAAATGTCATTAATAAAAATACTTGAAGAGATACTCAGGGTAGAGCTTGCCTTATCAAGTTCATTGGCCCTTTTTTTGACCTCCTATATATAAACTTAGTGCAACCTTATCGCGCTCCTTACCAACCTCTTTGTTTCTGTAAGGCAATGCTCAGGGTAGCTATTGGGCTTGCTTTTCGTTCTTTTTCAACCTGTTCCCGTCACTCTACCAAGGTCTGTTCTTATACTCCCCTCCTCAAGTTATTTAAATCTTTTTTCAAACAAGAATTTAATTTAACTTACATTTTTTTTAAATAAAAGGTTTCTGTACTAGGTGCAGGAGGAGGAATAGGGCAGCCTTTATCGCTCTTAATATGTTCCAATCCACTTTTGTCTAATCTAGCACTCTACGATGTCAAGGATACGAGGGGGATTGCTTGTGATCTTTCTCACATCAATACTAACTCCAGAGTATCTCTTTGTAATTAAAACGACTTAGTTAGTATAATGTATTCTTCTTTGTTTTACAAAAGCATAGAATTGCTACTGAATAAAGATAAAGCTTGTTCTCTGCATATAAGATTGTAGGTTATAGTGGGAGCGAAGAGTTGGAAGAATGCCTAAAGGATTCTGAAATTGTTGTTATTCCTGCTGGTCTACCACGAAAACCTGGTTTCAAAATTAAACCTTTTGTTTACAGAGATTTAAATTTCTTTCCTTATTTTGTATAAGGCATGACCAGAGATGACTTATTCAATACTAACGCGGAAATCGTTCAATCTTTAGCTAAAGCATGTGCTAAGTACTTTTTAACCATTTTTATATGGCCCTTGGGTGACTCAACGAATATAATAAAAAAGATACTGTCCTACTGCAAAAGTTGCGGTCATAACAAACCCTGTTAATTCTACTGTTCCTATTGTTGCGGAAGTTTTTGAGTCCGCCGGCGTATATGATCCTCGAAAGTAACAAGTTCATAAAGTTTTTCTTCTAGGGTGTATCTTTTTAATTACTCCAAACTCTTAGAATCTTTGGGGTGTGCACGCTGGACACTGTGCGAGCTAAAAAATTTGTTGCGGATCTGAAAGGTAGTAGCGGGTGGAGTGTCTACGGGCATGCTCGTGTCCACAGTTAAACAATAGGGGTTAACGCCACGACACTCCATGTTCCCGTAATCGGGGGACACTCAGGGATCACGATTTTACCTCTCCTCTCTCAGGCCCATTTCCTTCTCCTCTTGGTCATCATAAAAATTTACGAGCATTACAGATTACACCAAAACTCTCACTGAGCTCAGAAGAGATCTGCAGCCTAACGGAACGGATCCAAAACGCCGGAACAGAGGTCGTGAATGCCAAGGCAGGCGGCGGGTTCGCTTCCTCTTCTTAACAAACAACCTAAAATGTTAATCAATGCCCGTTTGTGCAGATCAGCTACGCTAAGTATGGCTTACGCAGGCGCTCTTTTCACCGATGCTCTTTTGAGAGCCGGAAAAGGTCTACGTGTTTTATCATCCGCCGAGAAGTAGCTGACCTTAAAACCCAGGCGACCCCGTTGTGGAGTGTGCTTACGTGGAATCAAATATAACGGAAGTTAAGTTTTTCTCCTCGTCCCTATTGCTTGGACCAGAAGGCAGCTCGCAATTTTACGTAGCAGAATACATACTGCTACTTACCTTCTTACAGGCGTCACTGAACATTTGGGATTCGGCACACTTTCTGCCTATGAAGAAGATAAGCTAAGGGCGCTTCTTCCAGAATTGGACCGCAACATAACAAAAGGGCTCCAGTTTGGAAAACAATGATTTTCATGAAATATAAGAGGACCAATAAAAATAGTTGATAATAATAAAACTCGGTGTTCCTTGTTTATATAACTAAACTATAAAAAAAGGGAAAAGGCCCTCTTGGTTTTGCATTATTATCTCTCTCGCTTAAGTTAAAGTTCGTTCCCATAGCAACTTTTCAAAGAAGTTTGGCGACCCGGTAGCTAGGCTACTACGACTTTTACTATTTCTTAGCTCTTATATAAATAACTGCCAAAGAGCTCTATATAGAGTTAATAACTAACATTTTAAGGGCACAAAGTGTGTGCATCATGATATAACATGCTGTAATATATTATAATTGCGTCCGAAAGTGTACTATAACAAGAATGTAATACTAAATATCACAGTATACAAAAATATCTAAAACTGATCAAAACAAACGGAAAACAAAACACGAAACCCCTAATTTTCACAGGAAAAATGATACATGGATTAACCCATTTAACTTCCTGAGAGATAGCCAACAAAAATACAAGGAAGGGAATTAATTTTTTCTAGAACGTACAAAATAATTTGGCCTACTTTATTAATTAGATAAACTAAAAGTAAAATTTTATAAAAGCTAATCTAAGTTAATTAAACATTATACACATATGGAAGCATTTTTGACCTTTCGTAAAGGTATAAATACAGACAAAAACTGGTCAGTTAAGTATTCCTGCCTTGCTCTCATTTTACTTCTTTAATTTATACTTATGTTTATTTTAATATTTTACTTAATTGTACACATTATAATACATATATTTAATGAATTGCATTCGATATATTTTTAATATACATTTTTTACAAAATTTTGATATACTGCTTGATCTTCAAAGTAGTATTCAGTATTCCTGAGAGTAAACTGTTGATTATATGATCCAATTACAGTGCGCAGCTAATAAAAAAGAGTAGATTCAACACAACTGAGGGTATGCTTTTTGCATTTATATTAATTTTAACTGGTAGATTTAATCTATTAAGGTTATTTTTTTAAAATGGTGTATATATATTCGTTTTAATACAATAAAATCAAAATTCGATCTTTCGTTTGTGGTGCCTTTTCAATCTATGGGGTTGCAAAGGAGTTTTAGCTTTATTATCTAAGGAGTAAGTTTAATGTACTTTTACAGTGTTGTTAGTAACTGTCTAAAGGGTAGTTTATTGGGAGCTTAACGTCCAGAGGGCGTGTGTGATTATTAAAGGAGCCTAAAAGCTTAAAATGGGATTTTAACACAGACTGGCACAAGTGGCAAATAAATTGAATTTTGTATAAGGTAGGTGTAGGAACTTTACCGTTTTAAACAGCAGTACCTACAGATAACCAATAAATTACAAAGCTTATTTTGCTTCAAAAACAAAAACAGATAACTTCATCAAGCGACTACTGCATTTTGGTTACCGACTCTAGGCATAATAAACAATAGCAAATAAAATATAAAAATTAATAGTGCTTTGGCTTTATGACACCTGGACAAACCAGGAAAAGGCAGTGTGATATAAACTATATGAAAGACCTACTCTGCAATTTAGCAGTAAGTTCCACGTTATGGCGGTTGTTAACTTATATTTTAAATAGTTCCACGAAATTAAGGCTTACTAAAAGTTACATGTGGATAGCAATTAGTTATTTCACAAAAAGTAAGAAAGCAAGGTTTCCGATAAATGAGGTGGCGCAAAGCAAACTGGAAGAGCATTACACACCGGGTGTCTTAAACTATAGAGCTGGTGCACCCCTCCCTAAACGCCTGAGAGATTGAGAATGGTGACTTGAAAGGTTGCAGCTTTTTAGCATATATCCTTCGTGTTCCTCTCGAGGCAAGGCAGCGTTTTTGGTATATACTGGATAATTATAATATATTTAAAGACCCCTGTGATTATCAAACAACTTATTAACTCTTTATCGGGAAAAAAAACTCTGGGGCTTGAAATAGATGTTTTTTCCTGAGAAATCACTAAAATGAACCTAGGTGACAAGTGTTAAACATAGTAACTGGTAACCTATAAGGGGTTAAGTAACTACTTAGGATTACGTGTCAATGGTTAACGAGTCAAAACAACGAAAGCAATCTAAGTAATTCATGCGGTTAGCAAGTGAAGTACTGCCAGAGGAGTGCTGATTGGGATCCTAAGTGCGCAGGGGAAACCAAATATTTGTCCTCTTGAACGTTTATAAATTATCACAACAGAAAAAAAAAATTTTTTATGCATTATAAAATCAAGAGAGGTTTTTTTTTAAAAAAGACCATGTTAGATACTCCCTTAGTGATAGTAGTGTATCACTAAATAATAATTACTAAATTTTTGCTCTTTTTTTGAAGATACAATAATCTACTTAAATAATAAAGGTGTTATTGTGAATATCGATAAAAAAGTATTTTGAAAATTCGTTATCCAATTTATAGTAAATAAGCTGCATGATAAAGTTTAAGAAATTAGATTTTTTATTGATTTTGGTGATCCTTAATTAGTGTAATGCAATTTAATATCACCAGACCGTTTGAGGGTTAGAAACTCTTACGGCAATCGCCCACGCACCTCGCCTTACGACTTCACGGTTTAAGTTACCTAAGGCATGCTGTCAAGGATTCTCATATAAAGCCCAGTATTTAAATAATAACATATTTATGGTACGCGTAAACTCTTTAAAAATTACCAAAAAACTTAGAAATATACTGTTGTTTAAAGCAAATAACTTTTTAGAAGGCAACCTACTTTTATTATAAATTATATGTTTCTATTTTGTATGATTCTAATATAATTTAAGAAACCCACAAGCTAAAGAGAAGATATTTACGTAAAAAGTATCCTCAGGAATCTTTAAGAGAAAAGGATACTTTGGACTATACGCCACGCGACTTATACTTCTTTGAAACAGGATCTGCTTTACCTAATAGTTGTGTTTTTAATGGTAAGTTGTGAACTTTAAAAGCTTCATTTGTTTAGTTATATACTTTTAAGCTTGTTAGAGGTTTTTTGGTTCGTTTTTAAATCTTACTGATATAATTATATATAAATCTACAGAAAGTTCCCACGGTGAATTACATTCGCTTGCTCTAGGTAGAGCTACTATGAATATTATTTTACTAGTCTTTTTTATATATTTCTAAAACTATTAAATTCATTTGTTTTATTTAAGTTGAAAAATGTTCATAGTAAACTATATAGCACAATTAACATATATAATTTTTCACATTAAGTATTTTAGTTCTTAAAGGTAAATATCTTGCCTTATTTATTTCTTTTGCATCAAGTGGAAAATTGTTTTTTTAAAGACAACAAAACTGTATTATTCAACGAGTTGGGAAGACTTTGCTGCCCTGCTCCCTTTTATGATACTATTCGCATTAAAGAAACCATAAATAAACTTATCCTTACTAAAAATAATACCAACGTGAGTTTTCTTAAGTTTCGAGAGGGCTATTACGAAACTAAGAGACTTGAAAAAAGTTACGCCTCCGGTTCTTCTGAGTTCCGGGTATTTTTTTATTTTTAATTTTTTTTAGATTTATTATTATTTACAACCCGTTAGTTCTTGTTGGGAGCTGCCAGGTTAATAAAGGATGCAGAGTTAGCAAAGTGCATAATGAGCTCTTATTTGACCAACGCAAATGGAAAGTGGGAGGACGACGTTCTTGTTTGGTAGCTTGAACCTGATAAGGGATGCCATTACTTCCCTTGACCTTATTTTCAGCTTTACTAACGGACTTGTCAAGTGTGGTTCACACAACACTGTCATTGAGTTTTACAAGTTCCTTAAAAATGCGAAGTTCCCTATTCCACCAGTTTTACTCCACGACGTCATCGTCAGTTTTGGCCATTTAGGTGGGTTACGAACTTGTGCTTACGTATTTTTTATTCCCTGTTTCTGCTCATCCTGCTTGCAGGCGCTGTTGGCGAAGCTGAGCAACTTTTCAGGACACTTCCCACCAAGTCCAAACCTGCAATTGTTGCTCTGCTGCGGGCTTATTATAGTGGCAACCGTTACAAGAAAGCAGTAAGCTTTTATTCTTCCTGGCGTCATCTTCTGCAGCTTGAAGGGGGCGCCGTTCCAGCTTCGGAGAGAGTAGAAAGCGCCGTGTTGTGTCTTCGGAGCATTGAGAATTTGGGTATTGTACTCGTTTATAAAAGAAATAGGTCCACTATAGAAATTGTTTAGAGGACCACACTTTTGTGATACACTTGTTCTACGAGTTCGTCAGTCGTCAAATACTAGCACCGCCACTTTTTGCCTGTGTCCTTCGCTCTTTACATATTCTTCAACATAGGTTTTCTAGGAGTTTATAAAGTGGACACTGCTTTGCTTTATCTTTATAGTACATTAACAGCCGAGAGTCTGTCCTAGGAGTGTTGAGGCTTTTTCCTTTACTCAACGTGGGCCTTACACGTGAAGTTTACGAAGCCCTTCTACTTAATCTGGTGTCTGTCTTTGCTGTATGTACTTGGGATGTGTGTGCTTGAACTCTTACTCATGTTATAGAAACGCTGTAGGATGCACAATCTTATAATGAACCTGAAAACAGTGCTGGAATGGAAGTTAAAGGATGCGACGGAACGCGTTAGGACGTTGGTGTCACATGATCTTGCTTTCTGTTGAACACGTGAATATATCGTTTGTCTGTTAGTCTCTTGACGAATGTTCGACGTCCGGACTTGGCACTTCAGATGTTTGAGTATGCACTCAATTCACCCTTTCACCGCTCGCGGGCGCTCTATGAACTTGGTTTCACACTAGTCCCGCCTCGTCTTAGACGCTCGTAGTCACTTTTGCCTTCTAGGCCTCCTTGCGTGCTTTAGATTGCGCCAGTATAAGAAAGTAACTACAGTCACTGTCTTATTACAGCTCTTCCTGCGTTGAACCCATTCGAATAAAAGGTGTTTACTTACTACAACCAAATGGTTTTTACGGACGGCCTTCCCCCTTCGTCGAGGGCTAATATTTGTCTCTTGAACACACTATTACAACTTAAACAAATGGACAAGGTCTGCTTGCGTGGGCCTTTGCGTTTTTTAATTAACCCCATTCAAGGTTAAAGACTTTTTTAGCGAGTGGGCAAAGGTTTCCACTGCAGATGTAATTAGCCACACCATCATCAACTCCTGTAATTTTGCCGAAGATGCTGGTTATTTATTCTCATTGACTCATAGTTTATTGATGCCCGTGAGTGCTTGAATGTTCGTTTACTAGAGATGGCGTATATCACTTTAAAGTTTCGGCTTCTGCATTCGCTTGGCACTCGTACAATACACTTTTATAAAGTTGTGCATTGCCTCTCTCTTCGGTGCCTTGACTTGATAACGGAGAGCTACTCCCCCCATGAGGGTGGTGGGCTGGAGTCTTCTACGCCAGTAATTATCCAAATCTACGAAATTTGTGACTTGTTTGAAAATCTTTACGGCGCCCTTCATCCGCTCCTCTATGATGGCTTATTTTTGGGTAATACTACTTTTTAGCGTAATTTTTATATATTAATATTAACTTTCATTGCTTTTTATTTTTTAAAAGCTTGCGAGGCCACCAATAATGTTAAACGAGCGAGGCGCTACAAACACCAAGCTAAACGCTTGAAGCTTCTTTGGGGAGACGCATCATTAAATACTGTGGCGTACTCGTCTTACATTCGTCTTTTGGAGAAAAATGGGCTTTGGAAGGTGCCTGCTATTATTATGTATAAGTGATTTTGCTTATTTTTGTTCTCTCCAGAAAGCAAGCGAGGTACAAGCGGAATTAAGAGCTTTGGGTAAGAAGCTTACTACTTCGTTAGCAAATAGTTAAATGTTTTTTGCTTTTTAGAGAAGTATAATAGCTTTCAAGAGTTGGAAAATTACGACAAAAAACTTTTTAATCCACTTGAATTCTTTCCGGAGAGGGGTAGTTACTACATGCATCATAAAGCCATCAACCCATTCATGCCCACTTAGTTGCTGTATTTCTGTAAATAAAATTTATCAGAATAAAAGTGAAATCCGATTAGTAACTTTTTATTTGAATTCCTTTCATGGGAGTAGGCTAAAGGTACAAAGCTTATAGTTTTTTGCCACTACCTAATCTGACGAAATCTTTTTGGGTCTTATAATTGACGAGATTTGGGCTACTGAAAAGGGGCAACCCAGTAATAGTAGTTAAATAACTTGACTAACTGAGACGGAAAAACTAGAGAACTAAAAAAAAAAGTATAACTAAATCAAAAGTAAGTGCGTTTTTTCTAAATGACGCAATATTAAGAAACAAATATGCAATAAATTCACGACTGATGAAAGCAAAAGCACTTTAAAAGTTTAAAATAATAATATGTACTGGTACACACCCCAAATAATATTATAAAATAAATACAAGTAGATTAGACAGTTAATAGTTACTAAACTAGCAGAATTAAAAACAAGTAAATAACACAGACAACTGAGTTGGTTTGGTCGAGAAAACCTGTTCTTTTTTTATTATGCTTGCCGTTCAATCATGAATACTTTTTTATGTATATAAATGTATACGAATAACTCAATTCTTCTACAATTTAATGTAAGTGTGACAGAGGTCAAGAGTACAGAAGAGCTGTTTTACCACGGCGGTTAAACCTCCTCTGAGCATTGATGCGTTTAAATAGAGTGACTAGTCTTTCCGAATGCCTTTGCTTCCTACATTCAAATCTCACATATAATTTAATGTATATAATCGAAATTTTCCGAATAAGTATTATGACTTAAGTTTAATAGGAAGGTTATCTAAGGATTTCCTATTATTTCCTGTATTTTTGACTTCTTAAAAAGGGCGCTTTTAATCATAAGTAATTGCATCTTCCTGTTTTGTAAGAATTAGAATTTTTTAATTGGAGTATGCAGGGCGTTTAATTTTGAACCTTCCGGGCTTTATAATGAGTATTAAAACTTATAGTCATAAACAATAAATTTAAATTATAATAGGAAATAAACTGTTAAGTTGTAGTATAAATCAGATATAACACCAAGAGCCTTCTGATCTTGTAATTTTTTTTGCTGAAAAGGTTAGAAGCTTTTGATTGGGTGATTAAAACTTTCAAGCGCTTGGTGAGCGTATACAGCATTAAATGCTGCAATCGCGTTATCTTCTAGCCAAGCGCGCTTACTATGTTCAATACAAGTTAGCAGGACTTCTACAAAATATTCGTAGTAAATCGAAGAAGAGTAGCGAAACACCAACTTATTGAGTTAGCAAGAGAAGGAGTGAGTTTGAAAGTACATGAATTCTGTTTAAGAGTGAGTAAGGCTACCAAAAAATTAAAATTTATTAGAATTCCTTTTAAAGTCTCCAAATTACACATGTCAAAGTTATCAAAGAACTGGATAACTGAAAAAAATATACATTAGGGTTTAACAGAATTCTGATATAGTATAGGATAAATCACTCGGAAAAAATGATGGATGTAAACGAAATTAAAATATCTGTGAAAAGCAAGATATCAATACTTCCCCATAAAAAGTTGTCGTTTTATAATGTAAAAAACCTTATATTCCGAAATTGAAAATTCGGAAACTTACAAATAAAAGGTCCAACTTTGCGATAAAAGCAGTTATTATCAATAATTTATCTATCAAGAAAATTCAATGATAATTTTTTCTAGAGGTTTCACAACAAAAGGGATAATTATAATAATTACGAGTAAAACTTTTTTTTTTAAAGAAATACGACATGGTATCTTATTAACTAAAGAAGTAAAAAGTTAACCAGTTATTTAATATATTCCTGTCACTGCTCAAGTTCTTGTTGCTAAGATTCTAAAAACAAAACCAAGAATTGTGAAGAATTACTGGAATGAGACTAATGTCTCCCTTATGCAGTAAGTCACCACAATGAATCCAGCTGTCGGGCTGCAATAGAAAATGCCGTATGAAACTGAAAGATAGTTTTCCCTCAATAAAACATGTTAAGTAATTTCATGATATAATCTATTTGGTTTTATAAGGGTATTAAACTTATTAACAAATCTGTAAGTCTAAATTTATTTAGACGAAAGATCTCCTTCAAATAAAACCTAAGCTTAGCAAGATAACCTTTGGCAATAAGCCGTTTACAAGTATTTCGCTTCTCGTTGCTTTAAATCACTTATAAGTTAAGGAGTAGCCTTTATTAAAGCAAGTAAGAACTTTTATTTTGTGTAGAAAAATTTTAAATAGCCTCTCGCTTCTTGGCGGTTTTCTGTGTTAGCTATCAAGTTCTTGGAAATAGAATGACAAACATAATAAGAAAAATCATATTGCGAAACTCCTTTGGAACCGCAACATAAAGTAACAGTTTTGTGCTCGTTACCCTCGAGATGTTGTACCCGACTGATAACTAATCCTCAAGCAAGGCTACATAATCAAGCCTATTTTGTTTTTCACAGTAAAGATCAGCAATAAAGTATAACTTTCTTAATTAACCTGTCTACACCATATGCCTTGTGTGGTTAATATGGTAGTTAATGTCAGAAGATACCGCACATTAGCCAAAGGGGTGGGTGGTATGAGTAGTTAGTCGAATGAAAGTAGTTAAAAATCAAATTGTATGTGTTCCTTTTATGAGTAGCAGTTAAGTAAAAAAGAATTTACTAAAATTTTTACAGTAATTCAAGTAGCAAATTCTCCTCATTAATTTGTTTTAACTATTAATAATATCCGTTGCAACAAGATAAACCACGTGGGTGTTACATTTCGAGACATGTCATATGTGTGAGCACACTTTACGCCGCGTACCTCTCACTACTTTTGCGCCTATCATCGTACTACCTTTTATCCCCTCTAAGGATTTGTTACAAACAAAGAGAAAAAACAAAAGCTTTATAATGAAAGAAAAAATTTCAAGTCGCTATTAAATTGCGTAAAGCGCATGTAATGCAGTGTTAGTTAAATTAACAAACAAAATGTATTTGCATACCTGGTATCTAACTAACTTAAAACGCAATGATTTAGTTTGTTAACTGAAGCTCAATTATGCATATAGTAAGAAATTCAACTATCATCCTTTTGGAGGTATACTGACAGTCGATTTAAATATGGATTTTAAACTATGCACTCAATTTCCTTTAGCGTGGTATTTACCTATTTAACCATTTAATACTTTCAGCAGTTACTGTGTATTCGGATTTTTCGGTCTAAAAAAAAATTACAAGAGCATGTTTCCTTGCCTTCATACTACAGAACAATTATTTATTATAGTAATGATAGCAGATCTAAAGGCTACAATGAGTAGCTAGCGTCAAACTACATACATATAGCTTGATTTCTCCATAGCTTTCAAAAAATATTTTTCGATTTATTAGATAATGTTAATAAATTCCGTAGAGGTAGCCTATTCACCGCTAACTTAATTCCAATTTGAGAAAATTTGCAAAATTTGCGAAAAACTATCGTGCTTTTTAAACTTTTTAAAGGGGCAACTTATAAAAATGCATCCAGAGGTGGCTGGTTTTTCATTACTTGAAATCTTATTCTCTTTCATCGGTGAATAGTCCTCTATTAAAATATTCAATTTCTACAGAGTAGGGCATATACAAACGCATACTAAAAAATACTAAAAACACCCTTTTTATATCACTGCCAACAATTTTTTTTATTTACTAATTTCCACATTCCTTTGTTGCCTATAGAAGCTTATTCGCATAAAAAGATACTATAGTAACATTTCATAAGAGATTTTTTGAAAGACATAGCCTCGACCTTAAATAGAGAAAAACCAAATCTTTGTTAAGTTTATGAGACCACAAAAATCCCGCTGCTTTCGTGCTATACTGCGCTCTAAAAGTTTTAAGCGTTTTTCACTTCTTAATATGTTTTAAAGTTTCCTCGGTAATTAATCTTGGAGGTTTAAAACTCTAGTATTTTGCTATGATGCATTTTTTAGTTTAAAAGACTGTGAACGGTGATTAATCTCAAAAATGTATGATTATTGCACTCTAGGACCATAAATCTATATACATATACACTTAATAGAAGATTTAGTTTTACTCTTTACTATGCGGAGAGCAATCTTTCTCTGCGACACAAACGCCAAAAAATTGTCTTACATCCAGCCAATAATAACATATGCTGCTTGGACCTACCACTCAACCACAATAGCGTCGGCACTTCGAGTGCGACAAACAATCTGCTGCGCAGCGAAATGATGCTCTTCCCCGGGGCTTTCACCTGGGCTCTCTAGCCGTCGTCTTCTAACGTAATGCCAACGCCTCTTAGAATAGGCTAGCCAGGCACACAAATCGTCTGCTGGTGAGCGAACTTATTTACAAGCCATGGGGTGGGCGTGTTATTCGCCGCCCACGTAACGCGCTTTAGCGCTAGTTTTAATTGTTAATGTCAAGAAGTAATGACACATCGATCGAAAGCTATTTTGTAATAACATCTGCGATCACTCCTAATTGAGAGCCCGAGTATTCAATTTTTTGATCAATCGAGCACTAGGGGCTATCATTTGTAAATAAACAAATAGATACTGAAATTCTGTTAGTCTAGAGGACTGTATAGAGGTTTTAGCTTTATGACTTAGAGTACAAGTTTAATATATCGTTTACGTCTAAAGGACCGAACAGAGTGTTGTGAATAACTGCCTATAGGATAGTTTATTAGGAGCTTGACGTTTTAGAGGGCGTGCAGTATTTAAGAGCCTAAAAACTCAAAAAAAAAATTCAAATGTAAGCACACGAAATGTTAGATTTAGATTTTTTTACCATATGTGCGTTTAGTGTCTCCTTTTTGGGTATTTAGATAAAAAAAAATGCAATAGTCTTTAGCATATTGGTTGTCTATAACCGGAGTAATCTCTCCTAGTCAGTTTTTTTTTATGCACATTAAAACTTAGTTAAATTAAAACCTTTTTGCGATGCTTTTACCCTTTCATTATGTAGCCTAATAAAAATCAGTTTCCTTTTTAGCTCACCTAGGCTTCAGTAATTAATTTTAATACTCACTAATTCTGTTCATATAAATAATTTTAACGATTAGAATGAATATAGTTTT